CTGGAAACGCCTCTGCTGGGTGGGACCCTCGCCTGGGGCTGTGTGAGCCTTCGGCCGGCCCAGATCCCCCACCTGGAGCTGCCAACAGAACAACATCCCCCGCAGCCAGCCCCCCTCGGCGAGCGGGTCGCTTCGTCTTTTCTCTTGGCGGTGCCAAAAGGTCCTTTTCTGGGACATCAGGTGACAGCAGGCTGGGGTCAGCGGGGGGTGGTCCCTGCGCCCCAGGAGCCAGGCCTTCGTGTGCTCAAACGAAGGTTTTTCAGTGTCCAGCCCAAGCAACCCAAGGGGGTGAGGCAGTGGCCCAGGGTGCCCAGAGCAGCTGTGGATGCCCCATCCCTGGAGGGGTTCAGGGCCAGGCTGGATGAGGCTTTGGGCAACCTGGGCTAGTGGGAGGTGGCCCTGCCCATGGCAGGGGGTGGCACTGGGTGGGCTTTAAGGTCCCTTCCAATCCAAACCAGTCTGTGATTCTATTCTTCATCCCAAGGGCTATCCCTTCATCACCATGGGGAACAACGTATGGGATGGCTGGGAGTGAAATGTGATAGTTTAGGACGGGAAGGGAAGAAAGGGGGCAGGGGGGTGCCATGTCCTCAGCTGGGACCCAACTGGCGCTGATGGTGCTGTTCGGGGAGAACCTGGCTGTGATTTCCAGGAGCACGGTCCCAGGCGGTGTGCTGCTGCAGCAGGAGGAAGGAGGAACAGCGTTTTTAAAATCTCCCGCTGTGCTTATCAAATTCTTGCCCGTATGTCAGGCTTAAATATAAGGCTGATTAATCGTGAAGGTAGATTGGTCTTTTGAAGAGCTGCAGGTTTGCGGGGAGCTCGCACAGAGGAGAGCTCACGGCAGATACCGAGCGAGAAGGACCGTGAGGGACCCCGGCTGGTATCTTTCATCTGGCTCCTGCTCGATGAGCTGGAGTTATTGCAGCTCCGCCCGGCCCAGGGAGAGACCGGCTTGGTTCTGACATGCTGAGGGAAGGGGGAGGAACCAACTTCCCTGTGTGGTTTGGTTTGGGGTTTGTTTTTTTTTTCTTTCTTCCTGTTTCCTTCCAGCCTTCTTTTCACAAGCAAAAACTCATTGAGAACACCTAGGGTGAGGTCTGCCCCGAATTCTGCTGCAGCAAGGCGATGGGAAGGGCTGTCAGCCCCTCGCTGCTGCTGGGTTTTTCTCGGGCTGTGCTGGGATGGTGATGTGCTTGCCAGAGCCTCTGCCTGGTGCAGATTAAAGGAGGTGTTGTCTGAGACACAATGGGCACAGTGGTGAGAGGAGAGGAGGCATGTGATCCCCGCGGTGTTGTCGTTCTTCTGAGATAAGGTGGCACAGCAGCTCCGCTTGTTCGGGCGCCGGGCTTTTGACTTGTAAAAATGTACCTGTAGAGCCCCAGAAAATCACCTCGTGCTCATTAACAAATCCTGGGTCCCAGCTTCCTATTTTAATCTAAAAATGTGTTTATTTATAAGATAAAGATCTTCCTGCTGTGATTAGAGGTAGCTGTGTCTGGTCTGTAGGCATCTCTGCATGTCAGAGCTCTTAAACGGCCCCTGAAATGTTGTCTGGAGGTGTTGGATTTACAAACAGCTGCCCAACTGTTCCTTTTGAGCTAAGTGAGAGCTTCATAAAATGATAAAGATCACTGTTAATTAAATTAAAGCAATGTCTTACAATATTTTAACTTTGGGCAGTGTGACTCTTTGGACCCATGGCAATAAGGTGTTTGTCCCTCTGGGATGTTGGTGTGTGTTAACTGCGGTGGGAATGCCGCCCGTGCCTGCTTCTGCGTTTAAGTGCCACTTCAGAAGTCAGGGGGATGGAAAGGACGTCAGCCTTTATCTCTGTAGTCACCCAGCTTGCTGGATCGGGGAATGAGAACAGCTCGAGGAGCTGTGATGCTTTGCTAAAGTGACCTGTCCCCTCGTCGGCGCATGCCAGCACGCTGTCTGTGAGGCCGTGACGGGAAACAGATCTCCCAAACAGCCCGGCTCCGAAGAACTTCTGCTTTTTAAACTTTTTTTTTTATTCCTGGAGTTCCGTTTGTGTAACCAGACTGCTGCTCTGGTTTTTGGTGCAGTCTCTTGAGCAAGAACTATCGGCGCAGCGGAAGCGGGGGCAATTTTGCAGCTCAGGGAGAGAGAATAAGTGAGGTGACGTGAAGTTCTTCAGCCAGCGTTGCTGCCGGGGCTGGAGTGTCGTACAGCTACACTGTTACTCGTGTCTGAGTTTGGATTTTTGTGTCAATATGTCAATTTTAAGTTTTCTCGCTTTTCTTTCAAGTGTCAGTTGCTGGCAGGAGGGATCCAGGAAGCAGTAATTCTTGTGACTATTCTTCCCCAGACCTCCGGAGGCTGGGGCTGGAGCTTGCAGGGAGGATCTTCAAAGCAGCCCGGGAAGTACAAGCGCAAAGCGCGGCTAAATCCCCCGGCTGCTTTGAAGTTTCAGCTTCCAGCGCTTCTTCCTTCGGGAGGTCTGTGTGCCTGGCGAGTCTCTCATTCTTTTTCCTTGGCTATCCTGGTAAGTTCCTTCAAGTGCAAAAATAGGATGGCTGTAAGATATCTTCTAATGGCTGGGTCTGTGCATGCCTGTCTGTAAAAAGGGGCTTTTGGGAGAGCGTCAGTTTAACTGCTTGTTCCTGTCTTTACGTTTGAAGGTTTGTCATTGACGGAGCCACAGCTCTCTGGTGCGCGGCAGGAGCCGGCCACTTTGAAGTCGTCAAATTGCTGGTGAGTCACGGCGCCAACGTGAATCACACAACGGTGACCAACTCGACTCCCCTGAGGGCCGCGTGTTTCGACGGCAGGCTGGACATTGTGAAATACCTGGTGGAAAACAACGCCAACATCAGCATCGCCAACAAGTACGACAACACTTGCCTTATGATCGCGGCTTACAAAGGCCACACGGACGTGGTGAGGTACCTCCTGGAGCAGCATGCCGATCCCAACGCCAAAGCCCACTGCGGTGCCACGGCGTTGCACTTTGCGGCCGAAGCTGGCCACCTGGAAATAGTGAGGGAGCTGGTCAAGTGGAAGGCGGCGATGATGGTCAACGGCCACGGGATGACGCCGCTGAAAGTCGCCGCCGAGAGCTGCAAAGCCGACGTTGTGGAGCTGCTCCTTGCTCACGCCGACTGCGACAGGAGAAGCCGCATTGAAGCTCTGGAACTTCTGGGTGCCTCGTTTGCAAATGACAGAGAAAATTATGATATCATGAAGACTTACCACTATTTATATTTAGCGATGCTGGAGAGGTACCGAGACAGCGAGAATATCATTGAAAAAGAAGTTCTTCCCCAAATTGAAGCTTATGGCAACAGGACTGAGTGCAGGACTCCTCAGGAATTAGAGTCGATCAGGCAGGACAGAGATGCCCTGCACATGGAAGGCCTCATTGTGCGAGAAAGGATTCTGGGCTCGGACAATATCGATGTTTCTCACCCCATCATTTACCGCGGGGCTGTTTATGCGGATAACATGGAGTTTGAGCAGTGTATTAAGCTGTGGCTCCACGCGTTGCATCTAAGGCAGAAAGGCAACAGGAACACTCATAAGGACCTCCTGAGGTTTGCTCAAGTCTTTTCTCAGATGATACACTTGAACGAGCCCGTTAAGGCCAAGGACATCGAGAGCGTTCTGAGGTGCAGCGTCTTGGAAATAGAACAAGGCATGTCCCGGATCAAAACCACCCAAGACTCTGACATCCACACAGCCCTGGACAACCACGAATGCAATATTTTTACCTTTCTCTATTTAGTCTGCATCTCTACCAAGACCCAGTGCAGCGAAGAGGACCAGTCGCGAATCAACAAACAGATTTACAACCTGATCCACCTCGACCCCAGAACTCGCGACGGCTCCAGTTTGCTGCATCACGCCGTCAATTCCAGTACGCCGGTCGATGACTTCCACACCAATGACGTCTGCAGCTTTCCCAACGCGCTTGTCACCAAACTCTTGCTGGATTGTGGTGCTGACGTCAACGCCGTGGACAACGAAGGGAACAGTCCGCTCCACATCATAGTCCAGTACCACCGGCCCATCAGTGACTTCTTGACGTTGCATTCCATCATCATTAGCCTGGTGGAGGCTGGTGCTCACACAGACATGACGAACAAGCAGAAGAAAACCCCTCTGGATAAAAGTACCACAGGGGTGTCTGAAATACTCCTTAAAACTCAAATGAAGCTGAGTCTCAAGTGCCTGGCTGCCCGAGCAGTACGGATCTATAACATCAGCTACCAAAACCAGATCCCCAGAACTCTGGAGGAATTTGTCAAGTTTCACTAGGCTGCATAAAACCTTTCGTGGTGGTGCTATCCCGGGGCGACACCCGTTGCAGACAGCAGGATGCAGATGTACATGGAGTTGTTCTTCTCTCTTCTTTTGGGTTGGGGTTCCTCTGGATTCAGTCTGCAGCCTCAGTTCTCATGCGGATCTTGGGGGAGGGGGGACATGGAAAAAAAGCCACATCGTTTTCCTGTAGTCAAACCTGATGTTTTAAGATGATGGTCATTTCTTTTGATTAAAAGAATTGCTTCGTTATCTCTTGTTTTTGTAACCAGAATGAAAAGAATCCCAGTGTAACCTGTGCAGGATGTTTTGTTTTCAGTGCACATCTCCACTTAACAGTTTGCAGCCGAATGCTTTAGGTAGATCTGTACAAAGGCACCTCGGAAAGCCCGTGTCTCCATGCTGCCGGGGCAGGAGCTTTGCCAATTTTAAAACTTCTTGGACTGAGGTGGGAAAGAACAATTGGAAATTATGTGGTAGTTGGTTAAAAATGAAATCTTGACATAGAGAGCAGTCTGTTGCTCTCATACCTCACCATCTTTTTATGCCTTTCAGTTCATGCTGAAGATGTTGGTAACATTTTAAAGTTTGTTTTTGTTTTTGTTTTTTTTTTAATTTTGAACAAGAGTTATCAACAGCTACAGATGTACGGAACGCTCTGTTAGGAAATACAGGTTTAAATTCAGCCATCAGATTCATCTAGTGATAGTTGAAATATCAAGCTCTTCATTTACACTACTTTGGAATAACTTTTGAAAAAGGAACTTGCACACTGACCGAGATGAACGGGAGTCATGGTTTCTTTTTATGTAGCGAAGTTGCTCATATCTAAAGATCATGCATGGATACCTAGAGAAATGGATAGGGTATTGGTGTTTGTGTGTGTCCCAACATTTCAGAAATGCTTTTCACTTGTTTTTCTTGTTCTTTCAATGATCAACATTGCACCTTTTTGACTCAAAAGTATATAAAACTGCACTCTTGGATTCCAAATGCTGTATCTTCCTAATGGAGTAGTCTGTCACCAAAGAGAGTCTTCCTTTGGAGCGGGATGCTGCTTGAAGCTGGCTTTTCCCATAAGCGTGGAGTCTGTGCCTCCCTGAATTGGACTTGAGGATTTTTTCATGATTTTTACTCCTTTCATGATGAAAATCTCTATTAAAACTGATTTTTTAAAAATTGTCCTATCATAAGATCTTTTACGATAAGCAACTGATTGTATAATAACGCCGCTGCCTGAGAAAGTGCTTCTCCTGGGTAGAAGTTGCAGATCCTCCAACAGTAAAATGTCACTTGTTTTGACAGGCTACTGAAAGCTCTGGTTATTTTAAATGCAGCTTTTTAACTGTCAGATGATGAAAGAATGTTCTGTAGGGTTTTTTTTTTCTGTTTGTTTGTTTGTTTTTAAACAATCTGGGTAGAACTTTAAGGCGAGATTTGGGCACACGTTTCTATTTGTATTACAAATAAATAAACATTGAATGTGGAATTGGCTCCCAACTCTAATCCTTGTCTAGTGTCAAGCAGAGTAACAGCCGTGAGCGCTGGCTCTTTTGTCTCTTTCAAGGGAAAAGCTTTAGAAATACCCTGTCTTCTGAGCTGCAAACTTTGCTAGAAACTAGATCCTGAAATGAAAAATGTGTCTGTCGCTTGTGTCTCAGGTAGGTTGGACTATTGCACTTAAAAAAAAAAAAGTGACAGTCGAATGTCAGGAAAAATGGCAAAGCCAAATTCATCCTCCTGGGGCCTTAATGCACTGAGTGGATGTTGTGGAGGGGGTGGAAGGTGTCAGTGTCCCTGTAAATTGTTCCCCTGAATCTCCTCCTGCTGTGAGCCAAGATGTATCCGTCTGAAGGCAGCAGGAAAGCTGCGGGTTTGTATTTTGCTGAGAATTTACAGTGGTGCTTTTTAGCCTCGTTGTTGGAAATGAAAAATAAAAAATGTTTTAAGCCGCTGTGGCTCAGGGCAAGAACGGGAGAATGCTTTTAGTCGCCTGTTTTGGGAACACGCACCGGTTATTATTATTTAGCTGGTAGGCGACTCAGTTAAATTTAACGAAGCTGGGAATGGGTGTGTATGTGTTACAGGAGAAAAGACTTTTGTTACACTGTGCAACATGCTTCAGACAGAGCTCCCGTGGCTTGCTGTTCCTTTTTGCACTTGCTCACTGATAACTGGTGATGTGCCTGTAGATAAAAATGGGAGTGGCTGGTCCTGGCGTCTTGGGGGGGAGGAAGGGGAGAGGGCTGAACCCCTGCAGCGACTCATACCGCTGGCTGGGTAACAGTGCTCTGGGTTGGAAATCCTTTCCGTTAAGACAGGATTTCCTTACACTGTTTTGCTTTTCTTGGGGACCTGTTTCTGACATGGGGTAATGTGAGCGCTGTGTTGCGAAATACCCGTATGGAACCGTTCCTGGACCAGACGTGCGTGCTTCAGGTGGCTGTAGGTAATCATAAGGTGGAGGAAGCTGCTCCTCCCACCATTTTCCTTTTTTAATAAGAAAAAAAAAAAGTTACACTGAACGAGCTTGGGTAAAGGCTGCTCTGTTCTGATCCTTTCCTGCTCTTGGCTCCGTTGCAGGGCACGTGCTGAGGTTCTGCTTCGTTTCTGCGATGAGTCCAAGAGAAGTCCTGAAGAGAGAGGACGCTTTTACCCAGAAGCAGCAATAAAACCTCTTGTTGGCAGCTTGCAAAGCACTTTTTTTGGGGAGAGGGAAGGTCTGCGCTATGAGCAGAGGATGCTGGAGCCGCTTCTGCCCCAGGTGTGGTCCTGGGGCTCTGTCCTGGTTCCTGATGCAGGTGGGTCCCTGCCTGTCCACAGCCGGGGAGGTGGCATCCTGCACCTTCAGCAAGCAGGGGAAAGCACTTGGCTCAGTAAAGAAACCTGTTTTCTGAAAACAAGTCACTTTTTTTTTTTTAATGTCATGACTCATGTTTTGTATCTGGCAGGGATTGCACC